AATTACCTCAGTCGTCGAAGCCTTAAACCAAAAAAAAAAAATAAATTATTGAAGTACCTAGCTAAAATAAACTATTATGTTAATTAAAAACAGTCTGGTAGATGACATTTTTTTGTATCTGTTTAAGTAGGTAACCTAATATTTTAATTTTTAATTAATTAACTTATAATAAAATAATTAAATTAAATTAAATGTAAGTAAGGTACATCTTTGCGTTACACATTTTGAAGTACTTACAACTTAATTTATGAAATATAAAAAGTTTATGATTATTTCTTTCATAAAATAAAATATATTATGTCTGAACATAAAATGTTCAACTATCGTACAAAATTATTAAATATTTCAATATTGATTTTTAATTTTCTAACAAAAACACACATACACGATACTTCTAATAGCTTATAATTTATAAATATAAAGATCATAAAAAAAAGAATACCTATATTATATAATCTTTCTTTTAATTTGTTTTGTAGAATAATGTACATACCTACTTTCTTCTCATGAAACAAAAAAGTAAAATCAATTCTAAAAAAAGTTTAATCCTAAACAACCTTTATTTACCTTTATGACTTGTATATATTTGGGAAACTTCCCAAAAAAAGAGTAATTTATCTATATGACGAAAGAGGGAAAGTTCAACTTACATTACAGGTGTTTGTTACTAAAACAAAAGTTGGGTAGTTGTGTTGTTGTATGTACCACATTTAAATTTATAAAGTTTTTATATCACCACGAAAACCCTAAAAATAGTCATAACACATTTTCAGTAAACATTAATTATAATATATACATAATAATATGCTGCAACATTTTATTTTGATATTGTTTTAAGTAAGTCGAGTTAGGGATATATTATATAGGTATATTGAGTCGATTTTAAACCAATTTTTCGAGTTCAATATTACCTATGTACCTGGTCTACAGTTTCAAAACAATTTCAAGCATGGTTCGTATCCATATTATCTTGTTTCATCCTAAAATTCCATAACCCAACAACATTATAATCGGTTTCGCGTTCCAATGTGATTAGCGGGACTCGGAAGTTCATGCATTTGCATATCAATTTCGTTAATCCCCTGGGCGAACGGACGGGGCTAGGATACAAAATCGCTTCACGGTGTACTGTCGTCGCACCAATCAAAACACCAATAGCGTTTATTTTGCATATATTTTATTTGCCTTTTCCCCCGGTATTGCTTTTAATTATTATTTTAATTTTCAATATGTATACAATACACGTTTTCAAAATAAATATGACTAGCTATATGTTTTGTTTATAAATGGGATTTCCAGCACAAATTGCAGGAATGCAGGATACGCCAAACAAAAACAATTATTACCTATAATATATTAATAAACAATTTATGCATCTAATTATAAGAGAAAACTTCGCATGTTGAGCATTTCAATACCTACTTGTGTGAATCCATTAAATATGTAATATTGATTTTCATATTATCATGTCATAAAAATTAAAAAGTAATTATCTCGTACCTATGCAAACTAAAAATGTTTTCTCTGCAATAATTTAATATAACCATTTATTTTTTTTTTTGTTAAACCATCAACAATAGGATTATTTCAAGCGATATATTTTTTTAAAGTAGATAATTTTGTATACAAATTGCAGTGCTTGAAAATCAATGTAGTGTAATATTTGAAAAACCTCGTACGTGTAAAAATTATATTTATTACCTATTGTGATTATCTTTTACAATATTATTGAGATAAATTATACGAATAGTATTATACAAGCTAAATTTATACTACAACAGTCAAAATTGGTCCGTATCGGAAATTCAAGACACTGGATGTCACCGTAGGTGAAAATGTGAAGTGTAAATAAAAGCCCCGTCATTAAAATAATTGAATACGCTCCTCGATAATAGTAGAATATTACTAAATCTACTTCCATCTGTCGTTGTCCAGACAACCAATTTGATTCTCTATTAATCTCAAGAATCTGTGCTGAATATTTTCCTACTAATCGATAAATTTAATTTGCAAAGTCCACACTACGGAAAATCGGTCTTAACCTAACAAGTTTACATAGTACAAATAGCATAAATCACCACCACTACCGGTGAAAAATACAATGTGAAAAAAAAATATACAATCTGTACCCTGGGGTACAATAAGAATATGTGTTATTTTACAGTGGCATTGAAATACTTGTTAGAAGAAGCCACCCAGTATACTGCAAAATATGACTTTAACAAGATTTAGTTTCTTAGAAATTTCTTAATTTTCACTCACCCTTAATTGTTTATATAGTAATATGTCCTAATATAATATGCATATTGTGCATTATGTCATTGATTGTACATAAATACATAACGTAATCATACATTATTTATACGAGAACTTCGAATAAAAAAATAATATTTTGTACCTTAACACTAAAGTAAACAAAGAACCACTCATAATCGTGTTGCAAATATAACGATTGTGTGAATAATAATTTCGCCGATGGAAGCGAAACAACGAGAGTAGTGAACAATACCCACTGTCTCTATCCGGATGTTTATCTTATTTTTTTTAGAAAAATCTGCGCGTGATCGAACACATACAATACATTAAGAATATTTCATATTTGTACGACTCGCATATATTATTGTTCTATACATAATAATAATATGTACTATATAGTACATACCTAAATATTATAATATGACAAGATTTTGTTGATAAAATAAAATATATTGCAGTAGGTTATTGCAGTGCTATACAAATCTATAGATATTGATAAATCGAATGTCAAAAATTCTTCCCATTATTAAATCAAATTTATACTTTGTTAAAACGGCATGACTCTACTTTTATAAATACAGTATTATATATTTGTTAATAATAATTAAATATACACAATTTAAACAATTTCTTACGACTGGTTGAGATTCATCCAGGAACCAAAATATTTCTCCAAATTTGAAAATGCACCGTTAATGTGTAATGCGTATAATTATTCTATAATGTTTTTACACTCACCTGCAACAAACAAAATAAAACATAATAAATACACATAAACAAATTTGAAAAAAATATATTTATACTCTTAATTGCGTTAAGTATTTTTATACGAATAAACAACTTACTATTAACATTAAGCATATAATTATTATGATATGAATAAATAATATTTTATTATTATCAATTATATTATTACAATATAATTTGTAATAAATATGTAATAGCATCATTCATACGTAATTTAGTTATCATGGTAATATTTATTAATTAGTATTATAAGTGTTTATTTCATTTTAAATTTTATTGTATTGGGTATAAAACGAATGGTAAGCATTTTTATGATTTTGTTTTGTCAGACGTAAAAGTATTGAAGTCGTGACCTTTGATATAGTTCAAGTGCACAATATATTGCTTATCGTTATCAATAATTAGGTTGGGATAATGCCCAAGAAATAAAGTGCCTTGTGACTGAATGTCATGCAAATGTAGGCACTGATGGAATAGTGGTTAAATATTAAATACCATATATTACCGTGAATTCATGTTACACTGTGCAGCTTAATATTATATTATTATTGTATTGTAACAGACCAGTTGAATTACTAGCATGCCTGCACAGTATTTTAGAAATTATTCTGCTAATTTCAATTGAAAAATAGTGTGAGAATACATTATGTCAAGATATAGAGGTACAACTGGAAAATATTTCCAATGTTTACAATAATAATAATAATAATAATAATAATAATATGCTACATGAATAATTATTTACGCTTTTAGAGATTAAAGCGACAATAGAGTAACATTATTATGTTATATACGTCTAGAATAGTTTTACAATATTTTTTACTAAAGAACTGCGTAGGTAATGAGTTACACCAGACTTTCAAATACGTATATTTAATTGCAAGTGCATATACAATTAATATTATATTATAATACGTACAAAGCAAAACAAGTCTGCAATATGACGATAAATTACCAAAAGGATTACCCAGTGTAATACTGCAGTTCCGTCCCTATTTCGTGCAGCAACAGCGCTAAGTAATTTATAGATTATGTCAGTATATCCGTGATAATATTCTTCAAATTATCTCCGACGTATTTCAGACTTTCAATTGATTTTCAATCAAGAATTTGAAAGATACGTTTTTATAAATAGCCACAAACTCCATTATTTTTATTTAATAATATGTAACATATTTTATTAGTTGGGTATTTGTAATATTCTAATAGCATATAATATGCATTTAAAACATATTATTTGTACTAATTAGTACCTACTTATAATATCATACATTATTTTATAACCAACCGTTAGTCAGTTTTACTCAGATTAATTAATGTGTTGATTTAATAAGATATACTTAAAATGTGATCGATGGCCCGTTTAATTTCTGTATGTAAAAGTAAGAAAACACTTAAGTTCGTATACGAGTAAATATAAAATATTATGTTAGTTCCTACTCCGCATCAAAATTTAAAACTTTAGGTATTAGATAATTAGACGAAATATTTTTTGACTTAGGACTGATAACTTATGCTATATGCACGGTCCTGTTTAAAATTAGTTTGTTTTTTATGTGCTTAATTATATGTAAAATAATAAATGTATTCAATATAAATACATTTATATTTCATCACAGATTAATGACAATTTAAAAAACAAAAATAATAATTATGAACTTGATAAAATTAATGAAAAATCCAAAGAAAAATATAACTGTTTTGTTCAAGTATTGATAAAATGTATTTTTATTATTTATTTATAACACAATTAATAATGTTTATAATATCTTCGTGGTTTTTTAAAATGTAAATATTACTACGGCGGTATATTTTTTCAGTGAAGTTACGTCGCTCTAATCAATAAACATAAATTATACGAATCAAGAGAAGGTCACACGAGATCAACATTGGCACGAGTCAGTCACACGCGCGTCAGTTTATTTACACAAAAAATCAAACGAAAACCTGGAAATGTTCGATACACTTGGCGTTTCTTGCTTTGAAATAAACCCATGCTATGGATTTTTATTGGAAAACAGCCACGCTCCCTGGAGATCTCGGATACCTGCAGGGTGTCCATCAGCTGCCCGGGGGTCTTTAGGACCGTTTGTTGCGGTTCCCGAACTCGAGGTCATTAAAATGGGTCCGGCTTTAAGCGCAATTGGGGTAAACACACGAAAGCTAACCTCAACCACGGTAGCCATTCGAAAACTGTACGGGCAGAGGGAGGTCGCGTGTTGAACTATGTGTCCCATGGCGGCAATTTCCAAGCTCTAGCCCCGATAAATATCAACAAAAGGACCGCAAACCGAGGCCAAATAATGTTGTGTAATTCTTCTGACGTGTAAAAAAATGAAGCAGATAAATAACCACGCATAGCTCATCAATCTGTGATGACATTTAAACGCATTAAATATTAAGATCAAAAATGCGAGTGGTGTACGATGTACCTTCACATTTCAAATTAAAAATCAAATTACACAATTTATTAAAATATATAATATATTATAATAATATGCATAAATATTAAAAAATATCGTTGTAGTATCTGTTGTAGATACATTCATTTACATTAAGAGTTAAACAAAATCAAACAGATATATAAAAAAAAATCAAGGCCGAAATTAAACATTTTGATCCTAGAGCAAAAGTTTATTTCAGTATGATTTATTATATCATCGTAGCATTTATTATAATAATATTAATATAAATATTAATATTTGTTATTACTTGTTGGATAATCAATTATCTACCTACCTATATTAACTAAAATTGATTTATTTCTATTATTGTATAGTATTTAGTATTTACCGATAATTGATTTATTTCTATTATTGTGTAGTGTTTACCTATAATTATTTGTATAAAATATGTAAGTATTCAAATATTATATTAAATACTTGTACATAATATAGTATGTATGTTAACATGAGAAGCTGAAAATAAAAGTTAAATAAAACTAAACTTTAACTTCTGAATAGGTAATGTACATTTGTACCTACAATACCAACGTATATTTATTGAAAAATCTAAACGACTAAAAATTCAAAACTAAATTTTAGTTCACGTACAATTTTAAGGCAACAATACTAACACAGGACGAAAAACTTTGTATCACGATTTACGATTCATGAGAAGGACTGATTATTTCACGACCCATGATAATATTAAATTCATTATTTGTTGTTCATATGACGTAAGTTTAGTTCATATAATTAAATTAAAAGATAACAAATTTAATCATTAGGTTTTCTTTTTTTTTTCATTATGCCACGCTATTCAATTTTTAGTCTGAATATTTTATAATTATTACTTTGTATTGTTAATAATAATTTATCTATTTTTTCTATTTTCCAAAAAATTATTTGAATTTAATAGGTAGATAATTTCTTACATATTTAAAAGCTGAAAATTAAATATTATCTATACAATATGGTAGGTACCTATTAATATTGCAATTATTCAGTCTAATCATTATCACTGCGGAAAACATCTTCAAAACATGATCCAACGTTTAGACCAGAATTGCAGGGTGACTATAATAGTGCTGCAGGACGAAGGTTAAGGAATACCAGTGATGATATTATATTGTGATAGATATTTCAAAAGTATAATGTTGTTCTGTTTACAAAGAATATATTTTGGCAATACCGGAAGATTCAGTAAAAGGCAAATACACGAATACTGAAATACCCCACCGTCGTCATTGTCCCCAGTTTAAGCTTCAATTCGCTTTCACCCTATATACATGGCCTATATTCTATATATGACGAAAATCATCGGCTATTATACGCATCGAGTAGTCCGGACTTTTGTGTAAGGGGATCCGAGTCAATTCCTATTCACTTATGATTGATTAAAAGTTAAAAGCATTAACTTCACCGCTGTAGTACCACCGCGATATTTGCGGATAATCTCTGTGCCACTCAAATGAATATAATCTGCCTGTGTACGCAATCAAAGTTCACAGACATCTTACGAAACGTATTTTTCTACTTCATTTCCCTCAACTCAGTTGACATTAACTTAATGAAAGTCTAAAAATACCACAAGATAAATAAAATAGTTCTCCGAAAGATCTGTTTTTCACTATAATATAATATAATTAACCTAAATAACTGAACGGGACATGATAGACACTTTGATTAAATTATCGATCGAATAATAAATAATTGTGCGTGTTGGCTAAACGTTAAACATGTACAATTCGCAGTTATATATGATATTATATGATGCCTATTATATTTATCGGATTATAATATTATTATGTCATCCGTGCCAAACGACTTTAATCACATTAGAAAAATTATTATTTAACGATTAAGTTGATTGCATTAATAAGCCTAGTGGTTGTACGAATATTAAATATTATATAATATTATATATATTCGTTATTGAATTATCAAATAAATAATTTTAAAGCCAAACGCCAAAGTTACACCAACTGAATTAGTACAAGCTTAATATAATAATACTATTCACTAATCAATAAAATTTAAATAATATTTTTGTAATTTATGACACCGTAAAGTATTTTTAGTATTATAAAATTTATACGAATATAATTCTAGATTTTCCATCAGATTTTGGTTAAAGTTGGAATAAAATCGTGTGCCTACCTATATTTAATCAGTATTATACCTATACTTACTCCACGTGGTCATATACTTTGACAGTTGCAGGTTATCAGAGAAACACGTGCTGCTGCGAGAACAGACATTCCACGTAGGACATATAAACTGCTAAGCACGAACATAATAATATATTATATTATTATATAAACGTATATAATATTATGCGGTACCCGCGAAAATCGTGTATTTTATAAAGAGGGATTGAAATAACACAGAACGACCGGCGAAAAGACTGCCGCTCGGAGTCGATTTGTCATTCGGGCGTAGGTCGTCGGTCTTCTCTGCAGGTTGTTAAAAGTTTGATTTTTTTTTCGAGCGGCGGGGGTGGATAGAGCCGGAGGAGGATAACGCGTGACATCATATTGTTTTCTGGGACTTTGGGCAAAACAAATTGCCAGCGGCGGCGGTGGCTTGTCCTGAGGGACACGGTGTCGCAACAATCCCCGGGGATAACATCTTCGCGGTGGCGGCGTGGACGGCGGTAGGGTGGGTGTGGGTGTGCTGTGGGTCGGGGAGCCGGAGGAGAGGCGATGTAAATCAATCATTGTCACACGCGTCCCACCTTTTACCGACGATACCACCTCCTGCGACGACCGCGCCGTCGACGTGACATCCACCTGACCATTATTGTATTATATATTATTATATTATATACCCGCGACTACGATATAATATTATTATCGTCCTGCTGCAGTTGCTGCTGCTGCTCCCGCCTCGATTTCCATCAGAGACGAGCCGTTACAGGTACCGCGGTTATGACGGACGCGGACGGGCCTTGACGAGGATGGTGGAAGGTTTGTTTGAAAAGTTTACCATATTATACTTTCTATAACAGCTCGCTTATTAATAACGACTTCGACAATAAACGCAGTGCACTATCATGTGACACATATACAGCCACAAGCCCAGACACAAATGACTGCATCCTTAGCGAGAAACGAAACACAAGACAACATACGCGAACAGCTCGCACCCTTTATCGTTTTAAACGTGAACAAGCGGTAATAGTATTATAATATTAAAAATATCATATCCGACCATAGACATATAAATAAATGGACTGCGCTTAGAGACAGAAATCGTGAAACCGACATTTATGAGAGAGATAAAAGGAGTGGGAGGCAACCATGGAGGGAATAATTGAATACTGAAATTATTCCATGATATAATTTATGACATTATCAAATATCAACGACCCATGCCTCCCATGCACCCATGCCTCCTACTTTTCCAACTACCCAATGACCACCAGATCCTGCAGAAATTTTTAAGTCGACAGCGACGACCAAGAGTAAATGCGAATGTGTACGACTTGCACGAGGTATACAGATCCGATTGTTTGCTGCATTTTATGCACCCCTACATGGTTAAAATATTATAATAACGAATACGATTAGAACATTCACTAATAAGACACGTCCGTAGATGAGCCTAACAACGGTTGCTAATATTAAAATCTGAGGATGATACAATTTATGAGGGGCAAAAAATTCCAACCATGAATGTACTAGAAGTGACACTGCAATAATATTTCGATTAAACTATGAGGGGAAATAGTTTGCCACCCCCCGTGAGACACAATAATCCGAGTTTGCCATATTATATTTTCCATAACCATTCGTGTACGTCATTAATAACGACTGGGAAAACAAACGCACGTCACTGTAGCTCGACACAGATACAGCTGCAACACAAACGCAGACACAGACGCCGCTGTCCTTTGTGAGGGATGAAACATATGAAAATGTACGAGGACGGCTAGCACCCGTTATCGTTTAATATGTGATAGGTATTATAATAACAATATCCTATCCGCCGCCGACGCATGCACACACCCACGTCACCCACATTTTTCATCGACTCGTCTATGTGGATCCGATTGTTTGCCGCATTTAATGCACCCTTATGTTTGGGTTAAAATATAATAACGAATATTTAAACATATTTTATAAATAGAACAAGTCCGTTGGACCGCAGATGAGTCTAACAACGGTTTTCGTCATGTTATTAATTTTTTTTTTCCATCCTTGGCGAGGGGTGAAGCACTTCAAAATAGACACGATCAGCCTGCACCCGTCATCGTTTTATACTCGATAAGTATTATAATATTAATATAATATATATTATATGACCACCGTTGACGTATACACACACCCAGGTCACCAAAATTTTTCATCGACGCAATGACAACCGGATCCTGCAGAAGTTTTTGAATTCGACGACGACGACCAATTGACTATACGAACGGGTACGACCTACCCGAGGTCTATACTCTATAGATCCGATTGTATGCCACATTTAATGCACCCCTACTTGTTTAAAATATAATAATGAACACTATTAGAACATATTTTATTAATAAGACACGTCCCCGTAGATGAGCCTTACAACGGTTTTCGTCGTTTTATGAATTTTTTGTATTTTTCGTTTTGAATAATAATAATATGTGTACCCGTATATGCGCATTATGCGTACATGGCCGTTCTACACTTCTCATTACGTACACCATTAATGTTGTGCAACTAAAGTTTTAAATCAAATGAACAAAACTCGAAAGAACCCGGTCATGTTTATTAGTTTATTAACGTCTTGTTTTATTAGTATTTTAAGTAAAGGAACCCGAGTTTTGAAATGGTTCAAAAGCACCTCACGTATATATATATACATATATTATATGTTTATATATACGTATATATATTATATGTTTATATTTATACATATATATATATATATATATGTTTATATTTATATATATATACGAAAAATTACTCTTGTTTCTTTACTTTTGATTAAAACTCTTGTGTGTCAGGTAGGACAATATTGCTATCATGCCGCTGTCAACTATTCATCTGGGTTGCTAATTAAAATCTGAGGATGATACAAGTTATGCGGGGTAAAAAAAATCCAACCATTATGGTGAAAGTACTAGAAATGACACCGTAATATTTCCATTAAACTATGAGGGTAAAAGTTTGCCAAATGTTTCCTCGCAAGACTTAATATCTTTGGAAAAACTTTAAATCATCCTTATTATAAGAACTATAAACAGACAACGAGAATTAAATACGGGTACCTTTATAAGTAATCTAAATCCCAACCAACTTTGTAATGTTACGAGGCGAAAACATATGAATAATAATTAATGTAAAGTTGAAAATGTTTAAGTACCTACTGCATTACTGCATGTAGAATCATTATGGGATCAGATTATTTGATTGGTAAATTGAAACAATCGAAACAGAAAAAAGTTTTTAGTTATTTCTATAATGCCTCCTACTACAGTTGTAAATGGTAATAGAAAATTAAAAATATTAAATTTCCAGACTTACACAAGTCGTTTCAGTAACGTGATAATATTAAATGATGGGTAATACGGCGTAATATAGGCATTCATTTTTAAATCTCGAATAAACAACTAACAATAAAATTACAATAACATTATAATATTGTGTTGTTATAATAATATCTAAACTACATATTAATTATTATTATAACGAATAAACCTCAACTGGATTTAAAGTGCAAAGCCGATGTAATTATCAATTTTTCAAAGCGGGCGAATGTGTATCAACGCGAAAATCCGATAACGATTATTTAAAAAATATTGAACTTGAAAGTGTATGCGCAATGCGTGTAACGTGCGTATATTAAAAATGGCTATATAGTGCAACGTGACAGAAATATTAACTTTTTAATCCAGACAGTCGGGTTTGGTGAAAAAGGTAGCGCCGACGTATAATATTATTATATTATATTGTATTATTTTATAGTGCTCAAATCGAGTTTCGCCGGGATAATACAAAACGCGTATAATAATAATAATAATAATATTTCCGTTGAATAAAAAGTAATTCATGCAAGAACAAATTAGCATTTGTGCGTATAGGTATATTCATTAGGAAACCATAAATTATGCGGGGTGTCTCCGTTATTTATACGCGATAATAAAATATCGATAACTGAAATACAACCGCAGCTCGTTCACTCACACGTTCATTAATAATAATAAAAATAATAATAATAATAGCATTGTCGAGTGGAACTTACTATAATATTAAAACGATCGCTGGGCCGTGTTCGTTCGACGGGTGAGGGAGAAAAAAAATTCTAAACCTATAAATATAACATAATATATATTGTATATTATATGTACATACATAATATTATAATCGCTATTCGTTCCATATGACCGAGTACTATATTTTATATTGTAATATAGGAACATGATAGTGTATGCTAATGTTTACACAATTTATACGGCGTCCTGTGTCATATAGAAGTAAATTATATTATATTGCACGTGCTACTCGGCTGCAGGGATACCACAAATTGTGTAGATGTATACCGATTGTGCATCGTATTTGTATTTGTGTTTTGTGAGGTAGCAATACAATTGATAAAAAAAAAATTCGAACCCTAAGTAAAGCCTAAATATAAGCCTAAGTAAAGCCCTAACATTAATATGTACCAATAATACTTACCACGCTTCCCTCACGAAAACAGCCATATTTTATTTTTTTTATTTTATTACATTTTATAATTATCATAATTATAATTTATTAACAAATTCGAAAAACTGAATCTGTTCAAAGCTATGCCTACTCGAGTGTTCAGAATATAATCATATGCCTATTTAAGAATTTATTGTGATACTCGTAAAAAATTAACTATTGGTTAAAGATTTTGAAAATTTATTGAGTATACAAGAATAGCATTGTACCTACCTAGGTACTTAACAACATTTACATATCGTGTAACTAATTATAAACTGGAGATAACTAAACAATATTTAAAAATTGGTCAAATTTTTTAAAAATTATTTAAACAAATGTGACAATAACTATAATACAAAAAATGTATTATAATAAAATGTAATACATTTCCATATACGATCAGAATTTATATTCAAAGCGTAGTGTGGTCAAATGACGGGGAAACAAACAGACGGACGTGAAACGTGTAACGTTAATCATGTACGTTATGATCGCTTGAACTTCCCAGGGACCGATAAACAAGGAACCAATATTTTTTCTATAAGCATTTTAGCAAGTCACTAAGTCAGTTCCAATTTTTAAAATTCCAAATTTATACCATAATAAACCCAAGTCACTTTTGAACTTTTCTGTCAACGTCTGAGTTGATTTCGATAGAAACGTTGACGTTTCGGACACATTTCCGTGGCCGTCTTCTTATGGATGGAATTTAATCCAGAGAGGATTATGAGTTCACTTTGACGTAAAAAGTCCATACGTTTCCGGGAACGCAAACTCATTGAGTTTCTTTTTTAGCAACCACGTCTTGTCGTCGCATGCAGCCGTACATTATACTCGGATTCGTTAAATCGAATCGACAGACTGTGGAATGACGTCCGCGTACAGGATATAATATACTCAGTACCCTATATTTACGAGTCCCACATTCACGATGGTACACGTGGACGAAAACCACCATCGCCGTCGACGACCCACCGGCCCTCCTCCAATTACCGGCTGCTTCCGTGTAAACACCGCGCACGTCAAACCCCGGGCCGCATGCCACGGGGGGT